CTTTTTAATAGGATTACACAATTACTGGTGAACCTGTAGCTTCCATTGTGGTCCTTGCAAACAAATGAAACAAATGGTCTAAATTGAACATAACATCATTAAGAACATCATTAAGAAACCCAACCGGCCGGAGGCAAACCAGTTGGCTATTTACAAGCGTGGCCAAGGATCTGAACAAGGGGCTACCGTGAAACAAATCCAGTGGTCAGGGTGGGACTCGAACCCTGGAGCGGCGGATTACGAGTCCGACACTCTAACCACTCGGCCACACTGCCCCCTTAAGTACAGCATTTCTCTGGAGCAAAATATTTTTGGTTACTTCAACATCAACCTTCCTTCAAGATTAAGATTGCCTTGTCTACACATTGTTGAATTCTATATTTTGTAGCGCAATACTACAACATCGGACGAGGAAGAGCATGTTAATTTAAACCACAGAACTTCGACCGTCATAATGTTCAAGATTGTAAATTGCTTGATATTCTATTAATGTATACACTGCGGGCAGAAAGCAAAAAAGCCGCCACAGTGACGTTCCAATAGGACATCCTCTTCAAAATTTTTTTGTTCTCCCTCTTTCTTTGGTAAGATACACTCTGATAAAGTAAATAGGAAGGCACGTAATCCAAGGGCACTGATGAGAGGGGAAAATAAGCACTTTGCTCTAGCGAGATGTTGCAACTGACAGTATTCAGTCTTCCAGAGTGTTGTGAAAAAGATTTTGGACGGAAACAGAATTGGCGTCAATTCCCGCGCATCCTTCTTTAAGGAAAGTTACCTTATTCCAACTGAGTGTTGTCGTGTTAAATGACCATAGGGAATCATCAGTTCCATTGTCAGTTTCTCCTCCATAAATCAGCATAGCGTCCTAAAAAATTAAGGTACACAGCTCTTAATATAACCAGTAAAAATCTATCAAACTGTCTAGTTCACTGGATGTTACTTTCTATTTTCAAATTGGTGATAGGGCAATTTTCAATTCAGGGCCGAAAGTAATCCCGGATCGCTTTGGTTTTGTTTTACGTCGCTCTGTGATTGGTCCAGAAAAATCGCGCCACTTTCTCAACCAATCACATGCAAAATGAAAACCAGTCACGACTTGATCGCCCGTGTTTTTCCGCGCTTTAGTCAGTTTGGTTGTTTTTACTTTGAGCTCTCATTGGTTCTTCAAGGTATTTTTCTTTCCTCTGATTGGCCGTTGCAATTGCTTTGGTTTTGGTTTTGGTTGTACGACACTCAAAAGAAAAGCACTCCGATACACCTCGTTAACTTTTCTAAGCATAACACGGCGTTTTGATTTTTTTCCATGGGTGAGGACGAAACAAATTGCAATCTAGGCGTTTCAGAGAAACAAATTGCAAAGTTTTGTGACAGCACTGTATTTTCGTGTTTAACCTCTGTTTTTAGCAAAGCGATCTTTCAATTTTTATAGTCAACTCACTACAACCTTAGTTACAATGACGCCTCACTCACCCTAAATTACTTTACTATATACATACTGAGATTTACACACTGAAAAGCCGCAGAGTAAATTTTCGTCCGCAAACCGATGTAAACCAATCAAATGTTGCGTATCGCTTTTCCCACATGTGAGAAAAGCGATACGTCCAATCAGGAGCCGCGTATCATGTTTTTTCACGTGCGAGCCGTTCGGAAAGTTGAAGTTTTCATTCAAGGCTGGTTGGCGCGGTTTCGTACACCGCGAGCAAATAGTTTTTAGTCGCACTTCTTCCATCGTTAATGTTGAAAGTTCCTGTCTCGGCGAAAGCCATGAGTGAAAAGCGTTTCGTTATCCACGATTCATAACTTTTGGATTTTATTTGAGCTCGTTCCCTTTTTACGAAGCTGATTTTTTTCAGTGATTGTTGTTTGACCACATTTGTTTAAATAAAGCTTTTCATAATTTAAGGAGGGTGTTCAATCTCAGTATGTATATAACAAACATAATACCACATGGAAAGTGCGCGCGTAAGGTGTTTACACACTCGTTGTTTTGTATCAGAAATCTCACTCGTTCGCTTCGCTCACTTTTTTGATTTCTGATACGCCACAACTCATGTGTAAACACGGTACGCCCGCACTTTCCATGAAGTATTCTATATACACTTACTGTATGAAAAACAGCCGAGTGAAGATATCGAGCAGAGGGAACTGTCGCGTCAATGCGATTCACTTCCACAATTGACCAAGTATTGGAGGTTAAATTGTAACTATAAAGATCGTCCAACAGTCCGTAGGTAAAGGAATAACCAGCGTACACTAACAAAACTCCTGGTCCATGCACCATGGTGTGCCCCATGCGAGCCAAGCGATTGGTACTACTGTTAGGGTGTGGTCCACCAATGACCTCCCACACCCCATCACCAGGAGTGACGACTTGACTGCAGTCGGGGCCGGCGAATCCACTGGAGCAAACGCAGCTTCCGACAATCTGTAGATGAAAGTGCAGTAACAAGCACTTCAGACCCAGGGGTTTCATTAAGGGCCGGGCACCAGGCAAATTGACCCGTTGGAGACAGGACTTTGCCCAGCTGCTTCATCATATTTCATGTACGTGCATTGCTTTCCCTGTCTTACTTGAGAAGAATGACAACGGTAACAACCGTCTTCTAAAAAAGTCTTCGGGGGTTGAATTTCAAATTTTTACGGGGATGCATGTCCACGGGACTCTCTCATGTGACATTCTGGTGCCTCCCCCCCTCCCCTCTCTGTTAAAATTCTTACTGAAACCCCTGCGGACGGGGCTCGACACTAACTTTTCAACTTACTAGCCAAGTGGCTAGTGACATCGTAGATATTACGACAATTGTAGTTTGTTTACTAACCAAACTAGCTGGTGGAAATCGAAAACCACCAGCTAAAGCTTAAATTTTACTAGTCTGTAGCTAGTTGGCTACCATTACTATCGAGCCCTGTGGCACACCTATTTATTTTTCAGCTATGTTAATTAACAGCGCATGGTAAAGATCTGGCGCTTCGGCCCAAGTGTTTCTCCGCTCGTAGGAAAGAATTAGGCCTGGGGCTATGCGAGTCGGCGAGAGATCTGGAAGGGGTCTTGCACTATTGGTAGCGGATCCCCGGCAAAACTTTCTCCGACTCGTCTCCAATCCTCCCGCGGATGGAGAAACGCGCGCCTGGCAGCTCTTATATTGAGGGTCTGGTCTCAGGCTAAAAAGAGTAACAACATCGACAAATGTCAGAAGAGGTATGGAGGCCAACAAAGAAATTTCTTCCTTTCTACATGAGGATCTTCTCGATGCAAACACTGAAGAAATAATTCCATCCAAACTGGCCTATAGTGTTTCATGAAAATCTGTTATCTCTTCGGATAAATAGAAAAAAAAAACAGTGAAAATAATGCATTTGTTTTCAGCGGTAGCACAACCGTTGTTTGCAGGCTGTTTTGAAATTAGGAGCATTAGTTTTTGTAAGGGAAGGATAAATGAAAATAAATGAAAAATGAAAAGTAAACACAGAATATGAAACTTTGGCGGGTTTTAATTTTTGCAGGTTGTATTGCCTAAATAAAGCATGCTGCACCTACCTGATTACAGCGCCCTTGGCCGAGCGACAAACTGCAGTTGTTTGGACACAACTGTTGGTTACAATCGTCCCCTGTCCACCCCTCTAAACAAACACATTGCTCCCCATGCGAGGTCATCACACATTTCTTATTTCCATCACAGAGATCTGGGCACATCCTGACTTTAAACTTCGCACTAAAACCCTTGGACAGTGCATTTGAACTCAAATCAACCTTGACGAGTACAACCATGTTCCCCAAATTGGCCGTGACGGATCTCAACTTGTTTTTACTCCAATCGCAGAACGACCCAAGCTGGTAAAATGACTGGACGGACGACGAACCGTCCAGAAGGAAAGGAGGAAGACCATCGTACACTTCAACATGATCAGTGAGACAACTGATGCGAAGTTCCCTGAATGTGAGGGTGATGTGCCCTCTATTTTCCACAGGGGGGGGAGACGGGCCATACACTACATCATGGCTACTGTTACTCAGTGAAGAGATTACCCAAAGACAGCTGGCTTCCATCTTGTTTTGTACTCCTGCACCCATTTCAGTTGAAATGAAACCTTCCGTGATGTTAATGAGGATACTGCGACGTTCACATTCATGGAAACACAGGCCACCATTCCTAAAGTTTGAGAGTTGAAGTTAGAGTAATTCTATCTGCTACTGAGTACGGATTGCACTAGGTTCTCCTCCACCGAGAGAAATATACTCCAGAAACTATAGAATATTTTTCTTAATGAAAATGTTAACGTTTAAATGTAGATACTGGCTGCATCTTGAGATTCTAAGTAGTAACATAACTTATCGAAAATTGCCTTAAAACGTGCTGACAGTGAGGCGGGCGGGCGCCGCCATTTTGATTCTTGCTTAGCAACCTGGCCTATTAGCTGTAACGAGACATCTTCCATCTGTTTGATTAATAAGGAGCCACACAAAAAGGCATTCGTGACTAAAAAAAAAAAAAAAAACCATTTCTTGGCAGTAACCAGACCAGAAACTATGAACAGCGGGCTGTGGGTTTGCGTAGGCAGGCATGTCATTGGGTTGCTTTTACTAAATTCAAAGATGAATATTTCTTAGGACTCCAAAAACGCCGAAGTCGTTTCCTGCATACGTTTCCATGGTGGAGATAAAAACCTGTGGTTTTTAAAGTATTTTTCTCCCGTTAAAATTTTCCGACAAACCGTAACGTAAATAGAATATGAAAGATGGTACATTTTGCGCATGGCGAAAAAAATAGAAAAAGATGTCTTTTGTCTGGTCGCGAGTATGGGACAAAGATGTAATTCTGAGTTTCCATGAGGAATTGAACTTCAGACCAACGGATTATAAGTTCCGATGCTCCACCACTGAGTCACAGACACTCTGTGGTGAACAAAGCCATTACGAAGTTCATATACAACACGCGTCCTCTATAAACCATAACCTACCTTGGATTTCCCAAGAGTCCTTGCATACATTCGTCACAACTGAACCCCATGGTGAAATCAGTACAATAGCACTGCCCAGTTGTCATGTCGCAAAAATACTTGTCAGGATCACCGTGACCATTACACTGACATGGGTTACATCCTTTAGAAGTGGTTGCATTACCAAATGATCCGGGAACGCAGAGCTCGCAATGTGTACCATAAGTGTAATCTAAAATATATACAACAACAAAAAATTAATTATTAACAGTTAAGCTTTGGGAATTTTTTCCGAAGTTGAAACAGTTTTCGGAAACGACGTTTCGGCTAATTTGACTGGATTTGAACCTTCGTCGCAAGATCGTCGGAGCAAGTTCGCCAGAGCAAATTCGCCGTTCGCTGCTGTTATCACATCGGAGACTACTAAAATACCATTCTCAGTGAGGCAAAAGTATGCTGTTGACCGGTTTATTAAGATGGCGTGGCGCTTAAGAGCGAAGTAAAGTTTATTGATCGCGATTCCTGTTGCGACTCACACAGGGTAAACTATAGAAAAAGGCGCTCCTCATACGACTTCGCCACTAAAACGTCAACAGGGACAGTCGAAAAGAAATTCCACAATAACAGATGTCCACTATCAAGACATATAAAACAGGTGAGCCGTCGAAAAGCCGATATTAAAAGCTGAAAGAAAACATGATCAGAACGCACAAGTCGCCGCTGATTAAACCTACGAATAGCAGAAGAGCAAGATGCCATACGAATATGTCGTCTAAACGTCGCAATCCTTATCAGAAGAACCATATCGATTTATCCGGAATTATCCCTATTAACTTTACCTTGACACTTGTCACAAATACCAACGCCTTTCAAACAGTCGCTGTGTCCATTACAGCCACAATCTATTGAACAGTTTTCACCAAGCCAGCCCAGATTACAATCACACGTGAAGTCTGCGCTGCAAACACCATGATCACCGCAGTCATGATAGCAACTGAAGGAAAGAAACACCGCGATTACCCTTGCAACATTAATTTTAGCTTTCAGCGATCCAACTAAGGAATAAATGAATAAGTACATATATAAATAAATTTAATGGGGATATTAACATTGGCTGTTTGGTCCGGAAATAAAACCCAGGCCCCAGCGGTGAAAGGCGATACAAGCAATTATATGGAAATAACTCCTTATATTGGGAATAAAGATCAAAATCCCAAACACCTTTACCCAGGGGTTAAGAAGTAGCTACCCGCTCGTTTGAAAAACGCTGAAAAACACGCCCGTTCCGCTGCTAAGTACCTTGCCAGGTAGCGAATTTTGAAAAGCTGACGCGGATATTTCGAGCGTTAACTCCGTGTCGAAGCAAATAGAAAAGGTGATGTATAATTATTCCACTCGCCAGTCAAAGGAGAGCAACAGTGTCTTTAAACCTAGTAACCTCGTTCAAACTTACGTTTTGTTACAAACTGTTACACCATCCCCGATGAAACCTCTGTTACAGACACAGTTAAATGAACCGGGCAAGTTCACACACGATGCATTAGGATGACACTGAGCCACGCCCAGCTTACACTCGTCTACATCTGGACATTCTGAGTAAGACCACACAGTGCTATAAAAATAACCAAAAGAGTAATTATAAATTAGCGTTTGGATGATAAATAACGAATTGATTCTAACAACTAAATTGCCACAGTTTTATAACAATTCTTTAACTGAGTGTCGAAAGTAATCAGGAATTGCTCAACATCGCTTTGTGATGTGTCCAGAAAACTCGCGCCATCCTTTCAACCAATAGGATGCAAAATTAAACACAGTCGCAACTTGGCCATCCGCGATTTCCCGCGCTTCAAGCAGTTTGCTTGTTTGCACTTTAAGCCCTCATTGGCTGGTGATGACGTGAATCTTTATTCTGATTTGTCGCTGTGATAACTTTGGTTTGGGTTTTTAGACACTCAATTGAATCGCTAATGTTCTAAAGAGTTCATAACTCAAAACGGCTTGAATTCGTTTCATACTACCTCCAACGGAGCTAAGATTTGTAGCAAAACTCAACTCGTCATACTATAAACGCACAGCTCTGCCCACACAGTGGTGTGGACCATGATGACTCAATATGAATTTGAAAGAACAAGCGCGCCATTTTTTGACAAATTTTGAAAACCTTGGCGAGGTGACAAAGACTTGTAAGAGAGAGGAACAGTACAAATGTTCAAAAAGGGGGGGGGATTGTGATTGAGAGGGAGGAAACAGAATTGAAACTAAATTGAGACAACATAGTTCTTTTCTGAGGCAAAACTTGTAAACAAAAAAATCCATACCTTCCGTTCGTTGGAAATAGAGTAGAACACTGGCCATTGTCAGGTGACTTAAACCCTCCAGCAAAACATCTAACCAAAAAAAAAAAAAATAAAATAAAATGGGAAAAAGAAACAAGCACAAACACATCACGTATGATGCATGATCCTCGCAGTAGAG